GGAGAATAAAAGCAATTTATACTTTTTGGGCCAAATTTTTTTAGACCTTCAAATGAATAGAAGAAACTGCCTCATAGCAATAATTTGAGCAATTTGATTTGTAGATAAAGTAATATTTTATTTAAAGAATATTAAAATGAGCAAGTAGTAGCAGATCTGGCAGTTCATTCTTGATGGAAATGGCTAGTGGTGTTTGAAAACATTTGTCAAATTGGTAGTCACTTCATTGTTACAGCAGCTTTCAATAACTAAAGTCTTTTTTCAGTATCTAGATTATTTATGTCCATCTAGATTACTAAGAACTTGTAAATGCAAAGTAGAATGTTTATATCATTAACTTGAGTTCTAATTTTTATGATACCATAAGTGAAACTCTACTTAATTTTATATATCACACAAATAGTTGAAAATGTAGTAAAAGAAAAACTGACAATGATCTGAAGAGGTGTGAACCTATACCTCTGATTCATACTGTGGTATATATATCAACATTACCTCAATAAAAAGTATACAATTAAAAGGAAAAATTGAGACTGGCACGAGATCTTAGTTTACAAAGCATCATTACATATATTACCTCACAATTATATCTTGCAAGATAATCAGGACAAATACTTAATTTCTTCATTATACAGAGGAAAGAGCAGGGCCTTGTACATGTAACGTGAATAGTTCTACCTCTTATTTGTTCGAGGTCACCCTGTGCAATTCTTTATGCTGTAAAACAGAATTTAAAATAGTGTTTATCTCACAGAGCGTGTATGAAGATGAATTGAGTATACATGATCCTATTAGAATAGTGTTGGGTGCATAATAGATGTTGGGAAATGTGAGCCAATAGCTGTTATTACCACACAGGTAGTAAATGTTTGGACTTGGATCCAAATCCAGACCTTCTGACTTCTAGTTTAGAACCTCTTCACACTGCCATGTGGAATTTGCACCCCCCACCCACCTTTTTTTTTAATGTTTTTTTTTCTTTTCTTCTTTTTTTATTCCTTTTAAATTTATTTTATTTTTTTATTTTTTTTAAAGATTTATTTATTTATTCATACAGAACTGGGGTACAGGCCAGAGATGCGGAGGGTGAGAGGCTTCACAAGAGACACAGCTGGGTGCAGAACAGGAAGATCGAGGAAGTACACTGCTGAGGGGAGCAGCGGGCGGATCAGGAGAGGTCTGCCGCGCCATGTGATCTCCTCCCGGGCAGGCGGGGATCGAACTCATGCGGAAGTGGTTTTCGCTTCTTAGCGCTGTGCTTTAACCGGCTGCGCCACCAGGGAGGGCCTCTTTTTTTTTTTTTTTTTTTTAAAGATTTATTTATTTACAGCTCTCCCTGGTGGCGCAACCGGTTAAAGCACTGCATTATGAAGTTTATTGAAGCCACTGCAGCACGAAGTTCGATCCCCCTGCCAGGGAGCTGACCCACATGGTGTGGCAGACCTCTCCTAGCCTGCCCACTGCTCCCCTCAGCAGTGTATTTTAGTACATCTGCCTGTTCTACTCCCCACTCTGTCTCTGGTGAATCCTCTCACTACCTCTCCACCTCTGTATACATACAGAGCTGGGGTGCAGGCCATAAGTGGAGGGGTAGTGAGAGGATTCACCAGAGACAGAGTGGGGGGCAGAACAGGCAGATTGGCAAAGTACACTGCTGAGGGGAGCAGCAGGCAGATCAGGAGAAGTCTGCCGTACTATGTGGATCACTTCCAAGGCTAGGGATCAAACTCGCACTGAAGCAGCTGCAGCTAGCTTGCAGTGCTGAGTCCCAACCCACTGCACCACCAGGGAAGGCTGGAATTTGACTTTTAATAAGTCATTGATTTAATTTTTATCTCATATTGATCTTATTATTCTTGAATGAATCTATTTCTACTTTGTTTTGAACTTTAAGTTTTTAAAGATCAAAAGGAAAATGTGTTTGAAAGATTCTTCCTTTTTTTTTTTTGATCCCGTGATTTCTATTTTCATCTGGGTTTGAGGTATTAGAAGGTGTTTTAGTAAGTGAAAGGTATTGTAGCATTATTTTCATACATGATTTTGGATATTTCTGGTGAAGTTTGTCTTGGTTGAGATACAAAGTGGGGTTGGAGAAAACTTTCAGAATTCAGTTATAGCTCTTATCTTTACTGATAAGAGAAGATTATCGTTTCAGAAAGTGACAGCTTGCATTATCAGAGAGAAGAGATGATTTATTGTTAAAGATTATTTGCTATAAGAGAGCCACCCTGAAGAAATTATTAAAATATTGTGTGCCATTCCCTGGAAAGGGGAAATAAGTTGTTTCTAGGTATTTTTCTTGGTAGAGTTATTTGTAGCAGTCTTTTTTTTTTTTTTTAGAGACAAAGATTTTTTTTTTTTAAGATTTTATTTTATTTGTACATACAGAACTGGGGTACAGGCCAGAGGCTCAGGGCGGTGAGAGGCTTCACCAGAGACAGAG